GCAAAGCATTAGCTAAGAACTATAGACCAAGCTTTGACGTCCCACATCATAAAAATCTTTGAAAGAGTGCTAAGAAGCAGGATTGCAAATCACCTGGATTCCCAAAATCTGCACAATCCAGGGCAACATGGGTTCAGGGCAGGTCGCTCCTGCCTCTCACAACTACTGGATCACTATGATATGATCTTGGATGCACTGGAAGAAAATCAGAATGCAGATGTAATATACACAGACTTTGCAAAAGCATTTGACAAATGAGATCATGGCGTAATAGCCCATAAAATACGTGCTAAAGGAATAACTGGGAAAGTGGGGAGATGGATCTTCAACTTCCTAACCAATCGAACACAAAGAGTAGTTGTCAACAGAGTTAAATCGGAGGCTGCCATAGTGAAGAGCTCTGTTCCACAAGGCACAGTACTCGCCCCCATCTTATTCCTCATCCTCATATCAGACATAAACAGAGATATACATCACAGCACTGTATCATCCTTTGCGGATGATACTAGGATCCGCATGAGGCTGTCATCTGCTGAGGACGCGGTTAACCTCCAAGAAGATATAAACAAAGTTTTCCAGTGGGCAACGGTAAACAATATGATGTTCAATGAGGACAAATTCCAACTACTCAGTTATGGAAAACTTGAGGAGATAATAACTAGAACAGAGCATACTACAGACTCTAGCCATACAATAGAGCGGAAAAATAATGTAAGGGGCCTGGGAGTAGTAATGTCTGAGGATCTCGCTTTCAAGGATCACAACAGTGCCACGATCGCACGTGCAAGGAAAATGATAGGATGGATAATGAGAACGTTCCAAACGAGAGATGCCAAGCCAGTGATGATCCTTTTCAAATCACTTGTTCTCTCTAGGCTGGAATACTGCTGTACATTAACATATTCATTCAAAGCAGGTGAAATCGCAGATCTAGAGAGGGTACAGAGATCCTTTACTGCACGCATAAGTTCTGTCAAGCACCTTAACTACTGGGAACGCTTGGAAGCACTTGACTTGTACTCGTTGGAACGCAGGAGGGAGAGATATATCATAATCTACACTTGGAAAATCTTGGAAGGAATGGTCCCAAATCTGAACACAGAAATCACTCCCTACGAAAGTAAAAGACTGGGCAGGCGATGCAAAATGCCGCCAATAAAAAGTAGGGGCGCCATTGGTACACTAAGAGAAAACACCATAAGTGTCCGGGGCCCAAAACTGTTCAACAGCCTCCCATCAAGCATTAGGGGAATTGCCAATAAACCCCTGGCTGCCTTCAAGAGAGAGCTGGACAGATACCTAAAGTCAGTGCCGGATCAACCGGGCTGTGGCTCGTACGTTGGACTGCGTGCGGCCAGCAGTAACAGCCTAGTTGATCAGGCCCTGATCCATCGGGAGGCCTGGTCATGGACCGGGCCGCGGGGGCGTTGATCCCCGGAATAACCTCCAGGTAACCAGGTAACCGTAATTTTCGAAATGATCAGGTTTACATACTTCAAGACATTTTTAAAGATAAAGCACTAAACCCACTGTCGTACGACAGTGGGTTTAGTGCTTTATCTTTAAAAATGTGGAATGGGAGGCTATGAGGGTTGACCCAAGGGTGAATAGCTCCAGTTCCGTGTATTAAGTCTTCACCGACATCAAGGAGCCCTGACCCTTGAAGGAAAGTTTTGAAGGATGGTATGACCTGGCGGGTCATCCCTCAGGGCTCACACCAGCACAAGGGTGCCACCTCTCATTCGTCAGTAGGTTTATTTAGGTACAGGTACACACGAATACAATTGTCCTACAGTGTAAATTACCTACAATAACCCAAAAAGTCACAAAGAATAACTTTTTTCCACTATCAACTGGAACACTCGCCCCATTCACATCCAACTACATGAACCAACTCTCAGTTACACTCATCACTCTTCCACTTCACAAACTGCCCGATACTCCAGTACTCTTGCCAAACAAGTTGGATTCAAACTGAAGCATTACATCTATTTCTAACTTGGGAGGTTTTTCAGCATGGCATGGTGATGTGGAGGTATACCTGGAGGGTTAAAAAGAGTAAAAAAAAAATACACAAACAGAATGAGAAACCACAAATATTGATAAAAATTACCCAAAGGTAAAAGTCATAGATAAAAACTACATTTAACGTGTGACTTCCAGAGTAACAGAGTAACGCGACGGTCTGGAGTTTTAAGACTCTCTGATCGCGGGTTCTATCCCCACCCGTGGTATGGTTTGTTTGCAATCGTGTCATTACGATTTCGTGAGTCAAGGATTCAGGGAAGCCGGTTAGCCGGACTTGAGTCCTGGAGGTGGGATGTACAGTGCCTACACTCTAAACGAGGGGTTTGGGATATTTGCTGTTTAGAGTGACATCTGAACTGTCGTATTTGAGCGCTTTTGGCAAGGCAGTGAGACTGCCAGCTTCTTAAAAATTGTTTTTACTTATTCAGCACGACTAATCTTGCTAAATATATTTTAGATAAGTTTCCAATAATTTAACAATTAACAAACAATGAAATATATTTTTTTCATTAGGTTCAGAATGATTTTTGCGAAATTATTGCATACACAAATTTTCGTTTGCCTTATTCGGCAAGAAGAGCTTTACTATTTAAGCCAAAATCGTAAGTTTTACTTATTCGGCACGACATATATATATATATATATATATATATATATTATATATATATATATATATATATATATATATATATATATATATATATATATATATATATATATATATATATATATATATATATATATATATCTTTTGTTTCGGTCGATTTGAAAGATTGTAACCACTACTCACCTCCCAGTCAGGCCAGGATATTAGGTTTACGGTGCCTCTGTCCATTGTACCAGTGACATACAGTGGACCGCACGTAATTAATTTCATATACATTGCTACTAGGCTTTATATAATGTGATATTACAAGGATCCCCTTTGTCTGACTTTTCTGGGTTATCCCAGGTAATTTACACGTAGGTTAGGTAACGTTTGTCAGGAAACTGGACAATTGTTTCCTGACGCGGGTCTTAGTCATATGATGACCCACAGCTGGAGCTTTAGGTCATCTGACTGAGGCCTTCCACAGGCTTACCCGTATAATTATAATCCTTAGATTTTTTTATTTACTCTTATGTTACTAGGTATATGATAATTGTACTTATGTGGACCTGTACCTACTTACTAACATCCATAAACAAGAACATTAATGACGTGAGGTAAACAAAGCTATGGTCAGTATGTGGAATGATGAACTTACATTAAGCTCTCTAAATTCCCTTATCTCAAGTGGACATTTATAAGACTGATTCGAGGCTTCCTTACTAACACGGGCCTACCAGCCCCCTCAAAGCTCTCGGTTCACACGCTGAGGGTCCGTGGTTGGATTCACGGTCGATTGTCCGTGTTTCCTTACACCGGTTGTCTATGTTCACCCATCAGTAAAAATGGGTACCTGGGTGTTAGTCGACTGGTGTGGGTCGCATCCTGAGACAAAATGACCTAATTTGCCCGAAATCCTCAGCATAACCAGCGGCTCTCTGTATAGTAGTATGTCATTGATGTCAGCTAGGACTGTATACCTTGTATATGTACTTGCAGAAATAAAAATGTTATTGTTATTATTAATGATAAAATAGCTGAGAGTCACACAAATAACTGGAGATCAAGGATCCTGCTCAAGCCTTCCTCTACCAGTTGACGACGATGTAATCCATGTGTTGACAACTAAACTAACTAGTTGCAACCGCAACAGACACATGAAATATGGAGAACAAAAGAAAAACTAGAACAAGCTGAAAATAGGAAAGGAAGTGGAGGGTAGCAACCAACCCGGATAGAGTCCCAAGCCAGCACTATAGGCTGCTTCCCAAGGACAATCGAGGGAGGAATTACTATCAGAGAGACATAAACATCGATCAAAGAGTCATGCACAATTCTCGGTTATGAGATAGACTCGTACAGTATTCAAAATGCGTAAAAGATTACGCTAGTCAGGAGCATCTTGGCCTAACTTTATCGTTTTAGATCATACACATCAACTTCTACCTTCTCAGGATGTTAATCCGTACCATGCTAGAGTACCTCGCACTCCATTAGCCCCTCACACCAAAGATGAACTCTCTGAAGCTTGATCAACGACCGGGCCGCGGGGGCTTTGACCCCCGAAACCCTCTCCAGATATCTAAAGCCGCAAGTACTACAAAATAAAATCTTCTTGATCTATTGCGAATGTAAACCTTAATTTTAATAGCTGTATTATGCACCCCATAACTATCCTGTGGACAGTAATCAAAAGATTATAGAGGCACGTATGAATCTAGGGAGCGAGCCCCCAAAATTGGATAGTTAAGCAAGTTACAGCCAGAATAAAGATGGAGGCTCTACAGGGGGAAGGTCAGTTATTTAGACTATTGGTCCATATCATCACCTTAACTTGCTTACATTGGCTTCACGGGACACACTTTTGTCGACGTTAAATGGTGTGTATATAATATATATATATATATATATATATATATATATATATATATATATATATATATATATATATATATATATATATATATATATATATATATATATAAATGGTGGTCATCATGGTTACAGTTGAAATGAGACGAGGAACCAGAGGTTATCCCGACGCATAAAACTAAATGTAGAAATTGTGCAGTGGAGGCCATAAGAAAAGAGTGAAGCAAAATAATTATTCTTTACAGCCACACTGAAGGTGGTGCTTTTATGGAGTATGAGAGAAACCACATTAACTGAGTAACATAAACAGCTGGCACAAGACCAGATACTTAGGGTTGCCAGGTGGGTGACGGTAGGTGAAGGTTGTTGGATATCTGGATTTAAAGTCTATCGACTACAAGAGGATCATTAAGGCTGTGTGTAACCTGTTCATCACCTATCAAAAGTATTATAATCCCTAAGAGAGTGGTTAAGGCAAATTCTCATTACATATAAGTACACTGAGACACACATCACTCGTTGTATATTATAAATCCTTGTGGTAAGCGAGGTCCGGAGGTGGCCCACCTTCTGGGCCAGAAGTAAATAAACCAAGATAAGAAAAAACAATGAGAATTCCCAGGTTACCAGGAGGGTAGCTGAGGTGTGACCACACACGCTGGAACACAGAGGGCGCTGACATGCACTCACTCCCGAGATTAACAATAGAATCATAAGAATCGTATCTGTCCTGAAATCCGCCAGGTACTGCCCCAGGTGTTGCTGCTGCCACTGCTCAACACACGCTCTTCATTATAACATTATCAAATTGAAATCAATTGACTCCTAAACTGGAAGCGCTATTTTTTTTTCTAAATTCCTTATTTCTTAGATACATGACTGACCAGATTAAATTCCTTGGTGGGCCAAATAAGGCCCATGGGCAATATTTTGCCCACACTTGATTTACACATTTCACTGTTGAGCCAATGAAAATTAAACTACACAAGCTATTGAAGAAGCATCTTAAAGAACTATAACAAGTATATATAGCCCAGAGATGTCCCATCCATGATAGAAAACTGTAATGGACTGATGAAGCCACTGGATGGCGAATATTAAGTAAGTTTATTCAGGCATACACAAATACAGTTAAATAGATTATCATACATAGCCTCATAAGTGTTGAGAACCTGGGATAACCCAAAAATGTCAGAGTAACTTATTTCCTCAATAAGATTTCCTAACGTTACACAAGCGTCTCATTCTTCAACTGGTCAGTTTTCCAAAACCACTTGCATCACATGATAGAAAACACCAACTATGAGTACAAGAACTTTCTTATAGCACCTGCCGGTTGTTCCTGTAGCGAGAGACATAAGACACGCGCAGCCCAGAGTACCATCATCAATATATCTGGATAATCACCTACATGATGAGTGGCCGCTCTCTCAACCCACATATATGCGCCAACATATCAATGTGCATATGTGAATGTATGTATATACCGTTAGTATATATGTTTGAGTATGTATAGGCATTATTAAACAAAAATTGGAAACATACTAACAAGCAGCTCGCTGTCATAGTAACATTAGAGCTAAATACAGTTGTATACTGAATATGGTAAATAATACCGACAAACTTGAGAGGTAAGACACATGCTCAGCATTTGGCGATCTTTGTTATTGAAACATTTCGCCTACGCGGTAGGCTTCTTCTGTCAAATACAGAGTATATTAAGTTGGAGGCAGCAGTAGTGGCGAGGTAAAGATGTAATCGGTTCATCAACCTTGGAGAACGTTGTTGAGGAGGTCAGTCCCTCATTTCATAACTACTAGTCATGAGGGAGAAAGATTGGATACGAGAGGGATCTGCCTAGCATGGGCCAGTAGGCTTGCTGCAATATATCTCATTTTTTACGCTCTTGCTTCTACTAGTGGGACCAGCCTCTTGCAACTGCCTCCAGTTTATTGTCCTCTGTATTTGACTGAAGAAGCCTACCGTGTAGGCGAAACGTTTTAACAATAAAAATACCTATGTCTTACTCGTCTAAATACAAGTGACATATGCTTTATTAGCTGACCTCAGTCAGCAGCAGTGTAAGACAGACAAGCAGTAGCTGACCTCAGTCAGCAGCAGTGGGCCAGATAGACAAGCAACAGCGGCAGCGGCAGCAGCAGCAGCCTGAAGAAGCCTGCTGTGCAGGCGAAAAGTTTCCCCTGAAAAAAGATACTCAGGTGTTGTACAAGTGTGTTTCTCGTCAAGTAGTCAATGTTGTGGGGCCGTATAACACCTCTAGAATGTTTTTCTCCACATCTCTCAGTGTATATACGCTGAGATACACACTTCTCAGCGTATAAACCATTGTCAATGTATCAATATTTTTCTCTAAATCAGACTAGGCTATTTTCTAGTCAACATTAACATTTTTCACCATGAACCCACAGTCTCTGCCTATTCCTTCAACATTTATATATACACTTTTATCCAGCCATTGAAGCTAGCACCAGTTCCTCGCCCTATGAATTCTTCACCAATATTTTAAGGCAACCTACTTGAAATACAATTCCTCCTTGCAGTTTGCTCCACTCATCTACAACTCTATTGGCAAAGCAGTGCTTGCACATGAAGAAATACTCGAGGCTCCTGATCTACGTCGCACAGCTACCACGCTAAAAATGAGTGAGCATATTTATTCACGTCAGGAAAAATGCTCGAAGCTGTGAGGCCCGTCTGGTTGGATGACATCACTGGCTGAAGGGGGCGGAAGATATCCGTGACTTCACTGACTTGAGGAGGCAGATATCCGTGACATTACTGGCTGAAGGAGGCAGATATCCGTGACATCACTGACTTGAGGAGGCAGATATCCGTGACATCACTGACTTGAGGAGGCAGATATCCGTGACATCACTGACTTGAGGAGGCAGATATCCGTGACATCACTCACTTAAAGAGGCAGATATCCCACCGATTCTCCACCTGATTCTCTACACTATATATACTCATATACTCTGTACTCAGGTAGATCTGTTTGTGACTTGATAAAGTCCACTATGTGGGCGAAACGTTGTCAGTAAAGGATCGTATTTTATTCCATTTATCTCCTCAATTGGATACTTGACGCATCCCATATATTATTATACTATCTATCTCTGTAATTTCAATAGATGGATAATCAAGAATTGAGCTCAATCAATTATTGATCTGGTGTATGAAGAGACTATTATTATTGAACAATAAAATGGTATAAAATACCGACAGGTTGTTTAGGTAAGACACATATGCAACAGTTAGGTATCTTTATTTCGAAACGTTTCGCCTACACAGTAGGCTTCTTCAGTCGAGTACAGAAAAGTTGATAGAAGCAGAAGAGACTTGAAGACGATGTAATCAGTCCATCACCCTTAAAGTTTTGAGGTGGTCAGTCCCTCAGTCTGGGGAAGAGTATTGTTCCATAGTCTGAAACAATATGAAAAAGCCTACTGTGTAGGCGAAACGTTTCGAAATAAAGATACCTAACTGTTGCATATGTGTCTTACCTAACAGTAATATTATTACACACATAATTTAAAATATCGGGAAGTTGACTGAAAATTAAGACACAAGTGCAACATCTGGATATCTTTATTGTAGACGTTTCGCCATCCAGTGGCTTTATCAATACAGATTCTAGGACATAATTGGAAGCCACTGGATGGCGAAACGTCTACCATAAAGATATCCAGATGTTGCACATGTGTCTTAACTTTCACATTGTCGGTATTTTATACCTTTCTTATCGGGAAGTTGTTGAATGAGACACATGTACAGCACTTTGATATATTTATTGTGAAAACGTTTCGCCCACTAGAGAAAAATCAGGGCTGATGGAGTGAACACATCTTCTCCAGGCTGAGGGACTGATTAGCTCAAAACTCCTCCACATGTAGGTTTATGGTTCAGAGAACCGATAAGTTGATATATTAGACACATATGCGACACTTGGATAGCTATCTTTATTAAGGAAACATTTCACCACACAGTGACTTCATCAGTCCTGTTAAGTTTGAGGGACTGATTACCTCATCTTCTGTACATAGTTCTACTGTCTTCAAGTTATGTCCTAGAATTTGTATTGATAAAGCCACTGGATGGCGAAACGTCTACAATAAAGATACCCAGATGTTGCACATGTGTCTTACTCTCATCTTGTCGGTATTATATACCATTCGTACACAACTAAAAAGACACAAGTGAAACTAATGCGACATTTTATACTGCGGCAACGTTTTGCTCTCCAGGAGCTTGATCAAGATCCTGGAGAGAGAAACGTTGCCACAATAAAAGGTCACATTTGTTGCACTTGTGTCCTTTTACTTAAAATATTGTCGGTAATTCTACCTTCATCAGTCCTATACAAAGAAAAGTGGTTGATGATCAGGGATTTGGGATAATCAGTCCCCCAGCCTGGAGTCAATATAAGCCACTTCTTCCCGTACATGCTGTATTCTTATCAAGACTGATGGACTGATTACATCAACTCCAGGCTGAGGGACTGATTACCCCAAACTCCTCCTGATCCTCAGCCATTCTTCACTGTATAGGACTGATGAAGCCATTGTGTGGCGAAACGTTTCCGTACTGATAACGGCACTGGTTGGCGAAACGTGGTGTCAGCCAGGTTCGCCGTCGCCAGTCCATCAGGTAAACTTGTTTGGTTGTAGATGTGGGTGATTCCACCAGGACTTGACATGAAGACACGGTCTCGTCTAGTGTAGAGCTCTACCAACTCACGACGAACCACTGAGCGAAACGTTGTGCCAGTTCAGCTTATTTTATTCGTAAGGACGCGACGTTCGTTTCGCTGTTGTCGCTCTGAGAAGACGGGATGTGGGGTAAATATCCGCCTTGTGGGGTGACTGCAAGGTTCTGTGAGTCACGAAGTTATCATTCTGGGGGCTTTCACGCCCACACCCACTCTACCCACGCCCACACCCACTACCCACGCCCACACCCACTACCCACACCCACTCTACCCACGCCCACACCCACTCTACCCACGCCCACACCGACTCTACCCACGCCCACACCCACTACCCACGCCCACACCCACTACCCACGCCCACACCCACTCTACCCACGCCCACACCCACTCTACCCACGCCCACACCCACTACCCACGCCCACACCCACTACCCACACCCACTCTACCCACGCCCACACCCACTCTACCCACGCCCACACCGACTCTACCCACGCCCACACCCACTACCCACGCCCACACCCACTACCCACGCCCCACACCCACTCTACCCACGCCCACACCCACTCTACACACGCCCACACATACTGTACCCACGCCCACACCCACTCTCCCTACACCCATACCCAATCTCCCTACGCTCACACCCACTCTACCCACGCCCACGCCCACACCCACTCTACACACGCCCACATATACTGTACCCTCGCCCACACCCACTCTCTTTACACTCATACCCAATCTCCCTACGCTCACACCCATACCCACGCCCACACCCACTCTACCCACGCCCACACCCACTCTACACACACCCACACATACTGTACCCGCGCCCACACCCACTCTCCCTACACCCATAC